GATACCGTTTTGATCCTGATTTGATGAATGAGATGAAGCTGTGCTGTGGGGAACGGTAGAGTTACAAGTATTTGACCAACCTCCTGCATCATTGCGTCCACTTTGGCAAAATCTGCGGCATTTTTGAAGAGCTGAGTCTCTTTGTTCAATCCAATGCACTCAAACACAAACCCTTCATATTCAGGCCACTGAAAGTAAGTTTATTGAGGACACATTTCGCGATGACCTGGTGGAAGGAGACTCAAGACTATCATGCATTCCTGATTGTTGCAATCTCAGAGGTTATCCAGTGTCGCAATCTTGAAAACGTGCAACGAATGCGCTCAGGCTGTCATTCGACGAATCAACCCAAAACAGTTAGAAGTCATTGGCGAATGTTTCGGTGTCTGTGGTCTCGCCTGTCCATGTGTCCTCTCATCCTTGGTCTCTAGACTCTCGCTCGCACTCTCGGTGTCTCTTCGCTTCTCACTCCGCGTTCGCTTATAATGCTCGAAATCAGTTTGAGAAAGGGGTCTTTTTGAACCACTGGTAAGCCAGTGAGTATTTGCAAGTCCGTATTCAAGCCCCACTGTCCATGATTCTGGGATAGTCCTACTATCCTGAGCTGGATAGGCGAGTTTTCTACCACCTTGGGCTGGATAGGCGCATGTCATTTCTCGATCTAAACCTCTTCGAATTGAATGAAGCAGTTCGCCTTCTTGGAGAGGAGGGTGGGAACTTGCAGTTTCGCTTTTTCCACTGTCGTGTTTATGGCTCTACAAGAGTTGAAAAGTAATTTTTACAAACTTCGGTTGGTATCACTTCACGACTTCACAAGATTTCACAGATCCTATTGGATCGCTCGACATGACAACGGAAAGCGGCGAGAGTACAGAATGCTACCACCATCCCCCACCCCACCCCCCCCCAAGCCGAACTGCGCCGACTTGATCGATAATCACCACAATTCGAGAGCGGTTTCGAACTTTTCAGCTGAAGCAGGGTTCACTTCGAGCATAAGTTTTCTTGATGGGAAATGGGAATGTCTCGGAAGGAGAGAGCGGTATCGATGTCGCGCGAGAAAGAAGTATAGCAATCTCCAGACTTCCGGCAAGACCGCTCCTCATTGGTGTCGTTTTGAGGGCATGTCCTGCAGTTGGGAAGACTTTGATGCGACCCCCCTCAGAGCCCTCCCCTCTGGTGCGACCCATTCCCTATCCTATCTACCATCTTCCCGCATTTTCCCAACTCTACCAACTTTTCCGACGTTTCTCCAGAAATTCCTCCACTTTTTCCCAGAACATTGTCGTCGAACGGGGAAGCGGGCGAGGGGGGGGGTATAACGCACTTGGAGCAGAAACTGTGAAAAGCCAACAACCAAAAATATTTTCCAAAGAGGCATTTACGACCAGTACAATGCAGCAACCAAATACGACTTTCTTCGCCGGACATCTCCATCGCACGCCCTCGCCACCTTTCTGCTTACTCCTTATCTCTCAGGAAGAGACCTTCAGAGGCTAACTCTTCCACGTGACTCCGCCCACACGATCAGCAGTAAATGTACCATCAGCAGATCAAAGGAATTTCAAAAGGCAATGATGGTGATGCAGTGAAGGTTATGCTATTCTCTAACAGTAGACTTTGCGTTCATAGCCTGCATCCTCTAATATTAACAACAGACACAGTATGCCAACCATAAGACTGAAAGTGCTCACTACTGTTCCTATTGGTGGCTTTCCTACATTTCTCGGAAACCGGCTTTTTCTCGACTGCGAACCAGTCTTGCAGATGTGTGAGAATCTTAACAAGTTTTCATGGACGCATTTCTATCCTATAATGAAACTTGGAAACTTACGCGATCGCCTTTTTCTTGTCCATAGAGGGCCAGAGCTGTGAACTCTGGATTGTCTGGATCGGCCCACATGGCCGAACCAACCACTGCACCGCTCATAAGGCAAGGATTGGTGGATCTGCCTCGGAAACGAAACTGAAAGTCGAGGACCTCTATGGTCATGTTTCCTAGGAATTCCATCAGACTTAGCGTATATTACCTCTGACGGAAATGGAGGTGAACGTAGAAATCCCGACTGCACATAGCGGTTTCCCAGGAATAGTCCCATATTGAAAGCGTCCTCGATTCCGTCCTGTTTGGGAAAATCCTTTATGAACGAAGCTCATACAGTAATGCAGTCGTCACTGAGCTAGAGCCTGCCAGAAAGCGACAAGCTTCGAAACTATCGCTTGCTTGCTTAATATCTCGTATCGCAACTTTTGAGGGGACCTTCCGCAGTGGACGATGGGCGGAAACTCATAACCAGTGAGCCTTCCACCATCTTATCACTCCTTCATCCTGTTAGGGTGGAGTGGAGCCGAAGTTGTGAAGGGTGTACGGTGGCTGGTAGTTCTCGTCCCTTGACTGTCGCGGACTGGGTCTTCAATGTGGCCAGTGGACATTGGGACTGTGCCACCAATTTGCACGCAGGGTGCAGCATCGTGTGATGTGAAATACCCGTAACAATACGACCTCCCTTCCCCCCCGCCTTCCCCCTCCAGATTTTCCCTGTCTAGTGCGCCCGCAACCCTTCCTAAGCTTCCCTCAACTTCCTCACACTTTTCCCAGTCCCAGTCTTCCACAAAATTTTCATCACTCACCTCCATCTCCCCTTGAAAAGGACTATCGTACAGTGGAAGTAAGAAGGTCGTATCAACTACTAATTCCAACCATCAGACTTTGTAGTATCGGCTGTCAACCCATGGGCGGATCAGCTAAAACCCCACCCCATTGGTCAACCCATGGGGAGTACAGCCCACATGAAAAGGGACAAATCGGGAAAAGTCAACAACCGTACAAATATTTATCGCGGCTTGAGGAACTTATTATATTACCAAGATCAAATACGACTCTCCCCGTCGACCGAATACGACCTCTCCCCAGATACCAAGTACGACTCACTTCCCCCTCCCCCCCCTAGTATTTTGCCCGATACTGGTACCTGAGCAGCCGTCTTCAATGAATTCCTAGAAAATTCAGTCCTGTCAATGTGGCGTGACCGTGGTGAGCCCTTATGTCCAGCATTTTTCTGTAGCTGAAAGCTCTCGATTGTTTGAAACAAGCAGATTCGACTCACTTCCGTAAGTTCTCCCGCTCCATTTGGAAACTTTGCTGCTATGGATTCATTTGCAAGCTTGTATGGAGCTCTAAGGCCATGATGGAAAAGCTGAAAAGAAACAGATTCCCGAAGCACACAAGGCGTTCCGAACACTTTTGTTCCAAAGAGCTGGATAACCTCCATTCTTGGATATCTCGAGCTTAAAGTAGTTGGGTGGGGGAGGGGGAGAGGCATGCAGCAGCGTGACTGCGCTGCGTTAGTCCTGTTTTCTCCCGCCTCGTCCTTTAGAAACCTAGAGTTGATGACGCTCTGTACATTGGGAGGGGCGAGTCTGAGTTTTGCGTTAGGATAAGCTGCATATTTTTAGGGAAGAGAGCGCTGGAAAGTGAACTATTTATCACGTGTGTAGTCGCACATCCGTTCCCTTATCTTAAAAATCGCGGCTTTCAAAGCCCTGACGCAAAATTGCAGACGCACTCGAGGCGCATAGCGTCTTGGGATTATAAACTCTGTATCCTACGGTGAGAGGGATCGTAATTGCGGACACCGTATCGCTCATGACAGCGATATCGAGGATTCCTGCTCCTTCGAGAACTAATCGACGTCGTCAGGCTTCATTCATTAGTTGTCATTAGGTTAAGATGCAAGGAGCGATATTGTTGATTGCTGATTCATGACTCATCGATGATTTATTGCTGATTCAGCGCAGTCCAGTTACCCCGCAAGAGACAGATGTTGTGTCACTGTCATCACATGATGTTGCGTTCATACTTTGCGGCAGCGTCTACCAACGTCCACTAGCGTTCTGAGCGTCCGGTAGTGTCAGCGACTAGGAAAGTATACATAGTATCGATCCAGCGTACGCCAGCGTCTGTCACCGTTCACCAGCGATTGGGAATAGAGAGTATAGGAGGGTAGCAACAGCTGGATTAGGTGTCGTGAGCGGTGCGGTTGCACACGCCGCAATTTCACGACGCCTAATCCAGCTGTTTGCTACCTTCCTACTTCCCCATACTCTCTACTCCCGGTCGCTGTGAACGCTGGCAGGCGCTAGAAGACGCTGATCGATATCTACGCCTTCCTAGTTGCTGACGATGACGGACGCTCGGAACGCCTTGGACGCTAATAAACGCTTGTGGACGCCGCCACGAAGAATGAACGCCGCCTAGCCTCTATGTGATCATAATCAAGGCCTTTCTTGCTTCTCATTCTCCTGTCCGGGGATCAGGCTCTAGGTTTCCTTGCTCAACCAGGTTATCAGGGAAATTTGACGCATGGCGCTGTTCGGCGACGAGGGGGGGGGGCATTTGCACTTTAACGACTTCCCATCGACGTGTCGACCCATCTAGACAGCCTCTTCTCGAGTTGACAGGTTTTACCATGATGGCTTGACGAGCTTGCTCCAGCTTCACAAGAGTTCACAGGTTTCACCAGAGTGAGACTTGTAAACCAGAACTAGTGAAGCAACGAAAGTGCAAAATGCCCCCCCCCGTCGGCAAACTGCGCCTGGACGCATTATTAATGCGGCGCAGGTGCGAAGTCCACCAAGTTGCCTCTCAAGAGATAGCTGACGTGTCACTGACGTCACATATCATGTTGATGACCTGTCTTTGGACGTCACTGGCAATGAGCAAGACAGGATTTCCTTTCCCTTATAGTGTTAGATGACGAGTAATCTCCTGATTTTCGAACAGGAGAGACCTATGCCCTCTAGCGTCTCAGGTTTGACAAGGCCCCAGTGCATGAGTGCCCCTGTCACTTGTATAGCCGTAGGTGCTTGGAGCCCAAGAACTCACTACGATAGATGCGACCAGTTTCGACGGTTCTGCTTTACCATCGGGTTTCTTGGCAGGTTCATCGTCTATCCCCACTTTGAAGACAAACAGAACAATGTAAGCGGTAGCTCCCTGAAAAAGGGTTATTTCATTGTCTTCGCCATATACAGCGCTATGGAGACAGTGTGGAACAGACTGAAACAGACGTACTAGAATGACCGAGCAGCAGGAGGAAGACAAAGAGAAGAAGTAGCTTGTTGCCACCAGGTTGCACTTTCGGCTTTTGCCCCCGCGGCGTCCTTCCTGGTGTCGGCATGTTGTCCGATGGGCTGGAAATGGCATCATACTCGTACATGCAGTATATATAGCGCGGTCTTCAAACAGATCAATTTTGTTGGGATAAACTGACCTGATAACGGCCCGAATACTCCATTGCCTTCCATTACAGCGGATCATTGG